TGTCTGTGAGTGCCATTGGAATTTTAGCTCGATAAGAGCAGGGACATGTTTGTTTTGTTACTGCTGCCTTCCAAAGGGCAGTATTTGGCGTACAGCAAGTGCTCACAAAGTATTCCTGATTCCTACCTCATACCATATACAAAAATTAACTCAAAAAGGATCAAATACAAAAATGTAAAAGCTGTAAACTACAAAACTCTTAGAAGGAAACATAGGTGTATATCTTAATGATCTTGGATTAGGCAATGGCATCTTAAACATGACATCAAAAGCACAAGCAAACAAAAAATTTACATAGGACTTCATCAAAATTAAAACCTTTTGTTTCAAAGGACACTAACAAGAAAGTGGAAAGACAACCCACAGAATGGGAGAAAATATTTGCAAATCATATACCTGATAAGGGCATAGTAGCCAGAATATACAAAGAACCATTATATCTCAACACAGAAAGAAAAACAACCCAATTATAAAATGGACAGGAGACTTGAATAGACATTTCTCCTAAGATGATATGCAAATGACCAATAAGCACATGAAAAGATGCTCAATATCACTACTCATTTGGTAAATGCCAATCAAAACCACATTAGGATGACTATAATGAAAAAAGGGGACACTAACAAGTGTTAAAGAGGATGTGGAGAAACTGGACACCTCATACCTTGCTGGTGTGAACGTAAAATGGAATGTAAAAGCAGGTTCACAGGTCCTCAAAAAGTTAAACAGAATTCCCATTCAGCCCAGCAATTTCAGTCTTAGATATATACCCAAGAAAATTGAAATTATATGTTCACATAAAGACTTGTACATAAATATTCACAGCATCATCATTCATAATAGTTTAAAAGTAGAAACAACCTAAATATCCATCAATTTATGAATGGATAAATAAAATTGGTATACCCATATAATGGAATATTATGCATCCATTAAAAGGAATGGAGTAACAATACAAGCTATTACATGGATGACCCTTGAAACTATTAAGCTTAATTTTAAAAAGCTTAAAAAGACAAATATTGTAATGATTATACTTACTTGAGGTACCTAGATTAGTCAAATTCAGAAATGAAAAGTAGAATGGTGGTTTCCAAGGGCTGGGGAAGGGGAGAATGGGCATTATTGTCTAATGGGTAAAGTTTCAGTTTGGGAAGATGAAAAATTCTGGAGAAGGATGGTGGTGATAGTTGCACAACAATGGGAAAGCATTTAATGCCAGCGAATTATACACTTAAGAATGGTTAAAATGGTAAATATGCATATTTTACCACAATAAAACACAGATGAACCTTGAAAACATTATGCTTAAGTGAAAGAAGCCAGACACAAAAGGACACATTGTAAGATTCTATTCATATGAAATGTCTAAAATAGGCAAATCGAGAGAAAGTAGATCAGTTATCTACCCCTGGGGCTTTGGAAAGGGAGCAATTAACCACTAACAGGCATGAGGTTTCTTTTTGGAGGTGATGGAAATATTCTGGAATTAAATAGCGGTGAGCACAAAGCCCAACACTGTGACTATACTAACAACCACTGAATTACACATTTTAAATGATAAATTATATTTGTGAATTTTATCTCAAAAATTTTTTTGAACAGAAAGTCTTCCCCCAGAATGAATAATGTAAGTGCAAGACAGACAGAAACTATCCTCTTTGTGATCTAGCCTCAGAAGTCACAAAGCGTTCCTCTTGTCACACGCATTAGGAGTCCCTAAATCTGACCCAACATTCCAAGTTAGGTTTTACACTTATACCAGGAAACTCATATCATATAAGTTTCACAACATGGGCAAGGTATTAAGGAACCCCATGTGCAGATGAAACTCAAGCTCACAGGTAAAATAAATTTCCCAAGGCCACAAGGCCAAAGGTGTGGCAGATCCCAGATTGGAATCTAGAAATGGCTGACTCCACAACCTGTGCTCTTAACCTCCATTAGTGGTTCTTAACCAGACATAACATTTGTGAAATATAGACACTTGGGACCACCCCCCACCCACCCAATATCATCATTTCTGTGGCTTGGTCCACGCACTCGAATGTTTTTAAGTTCCACAGGTGTTTCTGAGGTGCACCCAATATATAGAACCACCCCTCCGTGCCTGATGGTTTTGTATTATTAACATGGGCAGCTGACTCAAGCTGGATGGCAAGTGGCTTGGGGGCAGGGCCCCCACCCCAAGCTTCCTGGGGATTGCCACTGTGACATCATAATGTGTGCCTGCAAGAGGCAGCCACTTGGGCCATATCATTGGATAGCTGGATTCAAAGCAACTGACAATCAGAATGTCAGCTGCCAAGGGCTTCCAGTGGAACTGAGGGGTGCACAGTTTGTGCCTGGAAGCGAGCCTACCTGGCCACTCTCTCGAGGGGGCAGAAGGTTCACTGGGACCCACTTGGTGGACAACCCCTGCTACCAACTGGAGTACCTCAACTCAGCCTAGAGCAGAACTGTCAGTAAGTAACGCTCCCTCCCCGAGTTCCCAAACTTAGGGGCCCAGCTTAGAATGTAAAATTCACTGACTTGGTGGCTGTTTGGCAGGGTCAACATGAATCGCCAAAGCCGACTTCGTGGCGTAGGCATGAGAAGAATCAGTGTGAGTCAGTACCGAATCCCCTGGGCCCCATACCCCTTCCGTGTGGAACCACAGGCGGCCAGGGAAGGAGAAGAATGGGAGCAGGGAGAGCTACCTCATCAGAGGAGTCCTATCTACGTGCCACCAGAAAGTGAAAAGCCCGAAGACAATGTTATGGGTAAGGACATGCTCTCCCTCCTCGCGAAAGGGAGGTGGCTTCATATTTTTCCTCCTTGGTCCATAGGAAACTAGTCAGGAAACAAAAAGCAGAGCATATGATGGGCAGGACGAGGGTGAGGGATGAATATGGAAAGAGCAGGTTTCCTATCTGCCTCAAAGGACTGTCTGTCACAAGGAGCAAGGATGTAATATGTAAAAGCAACCCGAATCTAAGACAGGCTGCTGGGAACAGTAGGTGTTATTTACAAAATCGAATGCTTACAATAGGAAACACCGGGCGCCAGGTGCCATGGGAAACAGTGATGAATTCAACATCAGTTTTGACCCCAGAGGGCTGATAGTCTGATAGAGGGAAGCCAAGCTGTTAGGATGACTTCTGCGGGATTCAGAAAGATGACAAGAGCTCATAGGAAGATAGAAAAGGATAGGGGGCGGGGGCAGAAAGGCTGCCAATGGCTCCTGTCGTTCTGGTGTGTGTTGTGTCTCTCTCCCCCCATTTCTCACCTGCCATCTTAGCAAACCGGTGAGCTATAGGGTAATTCTCAGAAGGTGTAACAACACTGCGCTAGGAGAAATGGTTTTGAGAGAAGTTATTAAGTCTTGGTTTTAAAAAATAATACACACCTTGAGACAGTCTTAAGTCACCAAACTGACTTCCCTGCTGGAAGAGTCTTTCCCGCTGGAGGAGAATAAATGGTCTCGAGAGGGTGTTTTCAGGTTAGACCTTTCTCCTCCAAGTCTTCCCAGGACTTAAAGGGGCTACAACTGGGGAGGAGAGTCAGGGCACTGTTTACACAGCTAGCTCACTGCAGGGAAAAGGAGAATAAATGTTAAAGGTATAAAACGCAATCCATTCAGAGGCAGAAGGCTTCGTTTCAGTTAGGGCACTGGGATGGTGTGCGGCAGTGAGGCCTTGTGGGAGAGATGGGTGAGGAAGGGTGAGAGGGTCCCAAACAGTACTGCGTGCGGAAGACCAGTCACCGGCACTGGTGGGAGGCCATTCTCCAGCGCAGCTCTGTGTAAGAGATGGGCCTGGGAGGACGAGCAAGACCTAAAGCAGCGGTGAGGGCAGACGGGAGCGCAAGCTGGAGGGCTGGAAAGCAGTCACAGCGCAGGCCACAGTGCGGTCTTCCTTGCGTGGAGCCTGGCTTGGGGGGCTGGGACTGCCTACAGGGCGCAGGCGCAGACACGACCTCAGGGAAGAGGGCGGGACCACTTGCCAATTAGCGGGGGACGCCCGAGAGGGTGGTAGAGGCCGGGGCTGGGGGCCGTCTACCTTATTCTCATCAAACACTTCTGGGGCATATAATGAGCAAGACTGGGGTGAGGGATGAATACGGAGAGCGCAGGTTTCCTATCTGCCTCAAAAGATTGTCACAAGGAGCAAAGATATGATATGTGAAACCAACTCGAAACTGGAACAGGCTATTGGGAACAATAGGTGTTACTTACAAAATAAAGTGCTTACAATAGCAAACACCGTGTGGCAGTTGCCTCGGGAAACAAAGATGAATTTGAAATCGATTTCAATCTTAGGGAGCTGATTGTCTAATAGAGGAAAGTCAAACTGTTGGATGACTTCTGTATGATTCAGAAAGACAAGAGCTCATCGGAAAATAGAAGGGTTCCTGGCGAGGGGGAACCACAAATACTGCCAAACCCTCCTGTAATGTGATGGGGTAATTGTCAAAAGAAGGAACAGCGCTGTACTGGGAGAGTGGATTTTGGGGAACTTTTCAAGTCTTAATTTTTAAAAAGACACTCTTGGTTGGTATAGGCTTAAGTCACCATACTGCCTGTCTACCCTTGCCTGCTAGAGGAAAATAAATGCTAAGACTTTCTTCTCCAAGTTTTCCTAGCACTGTTCATACACATCACTTCAAGGAAAAAACGAGTGACTGTTAGATGCATAAAATGCAAGCCATTCAAAGGCAAATGGATTAGTTTTAGTTTCCCTGGGCGGGGAGGGTAGAGGATGGTGTGCGGCAGTGAGGCTTTGTGGAAGAGATGGGCGTGGGAGAATGTCTAACAGTGCAGAGGGCGGGGGCGCGCGGGGCCAGTCACAGGCGATGACACCCGGCGGCCTTCGCGGACCTGGCGAAGACTCCCAGCACGGGCCTGCCCCGGGACGCAGGCGCAAACGCCAGCTAGGGGCGCGCAGGCGGGGCTCACACCCGCGGGGCGGGAGGATGGGGAGCCGGGGGGCGGGGGGACGGGAGGATGGCGGGGTGGGGGTGTGGAGCAGGTCTCGCGAGGCCGCGCACCGGCTCGCGCGGGCCCCGAGCGCGCGGCGTAGCTGCCTGGCAGCAGGGGAAGTGGTGCTCGCGCCAAAGGACGTGTGTCTGCACTCGTATGGTCATGGAGGCTCCACCACCGCTGCTAGCGGCGCCGACTCCAGCCCTTGGCCGGGGCCGAAGGCTGCTGCTGCTGCCGCTGCTGCTGTTCCTGCTGCCAGCCGCAGCACTGCGGGCCTGGGAGGCCGAGGAGAGGCCCCGAACCCGCGAAGAGGAGTGCCACTTCTACGCGGGTGGACAAGTGTACCCGGGAGAGGCGTCCCGGGTTTCGGTCGCCGACCACTCCCTGCATCTCAGCAAAGCCAAGAGTAGGTGGTGCCACGCAAAGGTGGGGTTGACTGGTGGCAGAGAGAGGCAGGAGATGGGGCGGGCCGGGAGACACGTGTACGGAGGCTACCCGGGAACCTGGCTTGGGCGGTACCCCCCTGGGCTTCCTCGAGTCCCTCCCTGTGCGGGCGGGCTCTCTCCTAGGAAGCAGGAGAATGGAGGGGAGTTACACTCATCAGATTTTGGAAGTAGTGGTTACCCCAAAGCCGCAGATGAGGGAGAGAGTGGCCCCAGTCCTGGGCTTGCAGACATCGAGGATGTTGTGCAAACTGAAACACTTCCTCAAACATTGCAAAGCGCCCACAGCACATCACGTCTGTTTTCAAGTACTATTTCAGGGAATACATTGATGAGTTGAATAATGATTCACAGAAAGCTTAAACAGAAAAGTAGCCAAAACAAAATGCTCCGGAGAGCAAACGTTTCTTTTTTCTTTTTGTTGTTGTTGAGTCTTATAAAGACGATTAAAAGCCACCTTCCCCAAAATCTGTACAGTTGATGGGTATTCTTGTGTTTCTCAAAAATGAAGAACTTAATACAGGGCTTCTGGAGGCTTTTGGTAGGCAAAAAGGGGAAAAAGAGGTTGGAATTAATGCATGTGGGTTGATGATAAACCTCGTGGCAAATTTGTGTCCTGCCAAGTTGCCTTTTGATTATTTGCATTTCTGTCTAGTGTACACAGCTAATGGCCACTTTCAGGAAGGACACGTCAGATTAGATACTGAGAAAGTTGCAGCCTCCTGCTCTGCCTGTTAGGATGAGCCAAAAAGAAGTTGTCAGGGAAAAGGGATAAAGACTATCTCTCGCTTGCTTTTAAGCAACCTGCACTTCCTACGGATCATTTGACATTCTGTAGGTGTGTGTTTCCTTTGATGGTTCAGTTACAGCATTTTCCATGCCCATATTCAGTGGGGAAAAAAAGTAACGCTTCACAGTTCTGAATGCCCAGTGGGGATGTCGTTATGACTTAGTATAGAGTGGGAGTGATAAATGAGAAAAACTGTTGTGCCTCCTTAAACATTTGCAGTTCTTTCCTACGGAAAGTTAACTCCATTTGGGTTTTTGTTTTTAAAAAGCCAGTCTTGCACTTTTAAAACCATACTATTTCCAATTCTCATTGGTTTTACTTGGCCTGGGAAGATGTTTTAAAATATGTCAGCCAGTTGTTTACTGGCATCACACATATTTCCCACAAGAAATGAATCACATCCAACCAAGTGTGCTCATGGAAGCAAAAAATAGTAGCAATAATAGCTTTCCTTTTACCAGAAAATTTCAAATTTTAGGTATATGCCACATTTCTGTGTCACGTGTAGGCTTATCTAGAATCAAAGATACAAGAATTTTTATTCATAAAATGGAGCCGTGAAGGCCATGATTTCAAATAAATTTTTTAACATGAAAACCTGTTCATGATTTACTGTTCCCTTTATAGAAAGTGGTTTGACATGATCCAAATTTGTATGCTTAAAAAAGACTGGAAGGAAAGACATCAAAATGTTAACAACAGTTAAAATGATGGGGGTTGTGGGAAGAGGGAATCTAAATATTCTTTATACTGCCCTGCATTTGCCAGAATCTGTTAATTATATGATTTATATTTGGTACAATTTTTGTTTGTTTTTTAACAGATGGCGAGAGGTTGCTTTGGAAATTTCGTTTATAGATTTTAGCAAAGTGATTGTATTCTTTGTGTTCTGTAAATTGTTGACAGCTTTTTCTTTGAACTAACACTGCAGTTCTTAAATCAAGACCCAAAATTTCCCAAATCAGAATTTTCAGAACAAAATTTATTTCAGATTTTTTCAGACTTGACTTTCCCAATATGCTGAAATCATTTAAGTAGGGTCATTGTAACAGATCATTACAATTATAACTTCCCATTTGAGTAGCATTTTCAGTAATGTATATAAAGTACATACAGTTCTGCTATCCACTTCTCCCTCCTGGTCTTTACCTAGGTAATTGGATAAGGATATTTCTGAAGAAGGCTGCTTGCTCAAGATAAGTAGCCACATGTTTATATATATTAACTTCACACAGAGAAATTCATATTATATTTCTCTATTTTCAGGGTGACCAAAAATATTGGCTATTATACAAAATGTAAGCCTTAATTTTTAGGAACCTTAGTCAAACCTAGAAGCAAGTATTGAATTCAATACAGGTAATGGTTCTGAAAGTTTAAGTGCTGTCTGAATGTGTTAACAACAGACCAAAGTACATTATCACAGTGGGCTGACTAGAATTACAGAATGACTGGACAAGAGAGCAGCACAAACTCTTCAATTTCTGTCAGGTCACTTGAAACCTGTTCAAGGGGTTCTCTTTTAAAGCCGTCTAGGAAAATAATCCCATGGTTTGGGATTTTGCACTTCTGACCTGAGGCATTTGCAAATTTCCTGCTGCAGGTCCTCCATGTGTAAGTGAGAAACTGGACAAATGTTTAAATTAATACATCTACAGGACTGCCACTAGAGAAAGGAAAATCTAATTATTTGAAATGTAGGAAATTAATTAACGCGGAGGGGCTGCAGTGAAGAATCCAGTAGGAAATTGATTAACGCGGAGGGGCTGCAGTGAAGAAGCAGGGGTTCTGTGATCGTGAATAGGAAGGTCCTAGTGCTTGAATAGAAAAAAGTCATTTCATCCAATTGAAATTTAGCATTTCTTTGCTCTATGAACGTCAGCAACAAACCACATTAGCTTCAGCAGTCCCTGTTTGCACCTGTCACCAATAGACTCACAGATATCTTCATGTCACGTTATAGTTGTTACAGGTATCCTGAAACATCATTACACTTGTCACTATCTTGGGTAGTTATTAGATCACTGCCAGATCTTGCAGTTTTAAAATGTTAATAAAAGGGCACATGTATTACTATATCACCAATTTATTTTTTAATATTTCAATAATTGCATTTCAATGTAATTGGTTTCCTTTGTAATTCTGTTTTGTTTTACGCATTGAATAGCACTATTTTGAGAAAAAGCCCGTAAGGTTCACCAGACTGCTAATGAGGTCCAAAGGTTTAGAAGCCTTGATTTTTAAGGATTTCCTAAAGCTGTCTTTCTGTCTTTCCTCCAACTTTCTGTGTTACAGAACATCATATACTTTTCTTCCTTAGTTTCCAAGCCAGCACCTTATTGGGAAGGAACAGCTGTGATAAATGGAGAATTTAAGGAGCTCAAGTTAACTGACTATCGTGGAAAATACTTGGTTTTTTTCTTCTACCCACTTGATTTGTAAGTAATACATGTACACAGCTGCTAGTAAAACCTCAGTCATTATTCAAGAACATTAAATAGTTATACATATTTTACTTAGCTCTTGGTTCTTAAAAGGCAAGCTGCGGTGCAGAATTTTTTCAAAAAAGTGACATCCATCTTATGTTTCAGAAGCACAACCATTGACCCCAAATACTTTACACTCAAAATGTAATCCTTAGAAAAAAGCTACAATTACATTCATGAAGCTATTACCACTAAGGCAAGAAAATGAATCAACATTTTAAAAAACATTTAATAGCAAGACTTATTCCATAAATCTTTTTTAATATATTTCCATTAACTAGAAAATCAGCCCTTTTCTCTGGTTGGTGATACCATTTAACTATGGTCTTACTATTTTTATTCTTTGCTGCATCTGTTGCTTTTGTATAAATTGAACACTTTCCTGAAAATATTGCATATGTTGAAGGAATAAAGCCTATTATAAATTATGGTTATTGGGGGGATTGTCTCTTTAACTCTGACATCACTTTTTAAGTAGTCAGAAAGTGACTCAAACTAAATACTACTTTAGTAGTATTAAGGATTTAATTTTATCCTGAGAATTTTTCAAATTCCTTGAAAATAAGAAACCAAAGAGAGGTATCCTTTTATCTTTTTTCTATTTGAATATATTTTTTGGTTACAAAAAGTAAGTAGAACATTTTTTCTTTGCCACTGTATATTAAGGTCCTTTCTCTATTAGGACTAATCTAGAACTATGTAACTAAAACTCACAAGGGGAATATACTTAAGCTCATCTCTATAGGTTGTCTCTAGGCCAGAGGTCTGCAAGTGTTTTCTGTATAGGGCCAGGTAGTAAATATTTTAGGCTTGTAGTGTTCTCTATTGCAACTACTCAACTGTGCCAGTGTAGCACAAAACCAGCCACAGACGACCCATAAGTGAGATAGGCTGGATTTGGCTTGTGAACTGAAGTTTGCTGGCCCCTACTTGTAATCCAAATAGGAATAATTCTCATAAAAATTAGTATATTGAGACTAAAACAAGTCATGAATCTGCACAATACATAATCTCTTAGATTAGTAAGAACTTGGGAGCATCTCTTTACTTGCTAGATGGGATGCTGCCCAATTCACGAATTGATTAATAAAACCAATTAGATCTTTAAATTTAAAAAAATAAATTAGAACTTCTTTATTTCTAGTCAACTTGTGCTGTGGCTTGACTAGCTAAAATGTATAACATAATTTCAAATAGCAGAAGTAGAAATTTTAATATATAAAAATTATAAGCCTTCTAAATTCATGTTAATTGTAAAACCAAAAAGTTAATAACATGTATGTTAAAAATATATGCTAAATCTGAATTTTGAAATTAGTCTAACATAACAGATAAATACCCTGTTTCTCCAGTGTTATTTGAAACTCCATAAAGAGTAAGACATATCTAATTAGAACATGATGTCAGCAATGGTCTTCTGCGGCAAGGAGCTAAGATAGCTTCTTTCTGTTGTTTCCATGTTATGCCAGACTGGACCTAGTTAGAGAAGGAAACATTCTTTAGTTTTCTGCCAGAACTTTTTCTCTGTCTTTACTAAGAAGTTGGGCAAATGTGTCTCTAGGTATCATTTCTTGGGGTAATAAGAAGGCAGGGACTGACCATTCCTACATTTTGGAAAATATTAAAAACACATATAGCCCAGGTTTCCAGGGATGTAATCTAGATTAGAACTGTCTGCTCTGCATACAGCAGTCCTCCACTTGAACAACTGAAACATTTGAAAAGCCTCTGTTGGGCTGTCTTATATTAGGAACTGGTCCTCTAAGTCTACGTTTTTGTGACTTTCTTGACCATGACACACAGGAAATACATTTTTCATTGCCGCCCAGTTCACTTACATATATGCTGGGGTAACATTCAGTCTGTATACCCCAGCCCAGTACAGCCATGCTCATTAAAATACTGAGAAAAAAACTTCCATACCAGATGGTAAACAACCACTTTCCAAACCTCTCCCCAAGTTGTCCTTCCCACCTGGTCCCTTTTCAGAAATCTCTACAGCTAAAGCCAACACTGAGTTAAGGTTGTTAAATATTTTTAATATCACTGCTGAACACACACATATATACACTTGTACATATATATGTTTCATAACTTATCCTTACTATGTATGATGTATTCTCATATTTTCTATTTTACTTTTTTAAATGTTGGTTGAAACTCAGTAAAGTTGGCTTAAAGAGTCCCTACCACAGAGTGAAAAATACAACACTAAGGTAATAACCTCTAAACATGCTCTTCTGACAGCAGGACTGGGAAACAAGGTGGAAGGGGACCTTATAAAGAAAGGGAGGGGCATTGGGGGACATTTCCTCCTCTCCAAAATAAAGATGCATCTATCTCATAGGTTTGGTATAGGAATGTAAAAAAAATAGTGAAATGATGTAAAAATTTATATAGATCCTTTGAAAGCTGTAAAGCACTATATAAAGTATTATTAAATAAAAGCTAATAAAATGGAGGAGACTCTGCCGTAAGGGATAAGAAAACGTTGGTTGACAACTGATCCACTAAATTATAAAAATAAAATTTATTGAGATGTAATAGAGAACTCTGTAATATACATTTTTAAATGATACTTGATGAAATGACAGTCTTTTAGACTATTGTATCTTAAGATTCATCAATAAAATTGTTCTTTATTGTTTATTTTTTTTTATATACTTACAGGTAGTTTGTAAAAACAGTCATTTGAAACTTCAGGTATACGCATATTTTGAGAATACTAAATTTATCTTTTTTTTTTTTTTTTTACTTTCAGCACTTTTGTGTGTCCAACTGAAATTATCGCCTTTGGTGATAGAATTGAAGAATTCAGAGCTATAAACACTGAAGTGGTAGCATGCTCTGTTGATTCACAGTTTACCCATTTGGCCTGGTCAGTATCTTACACTTATATTTTGTAGGGAAAAGAATGGATTTACTGTTAAATTATGGGCAGACAACTCAACATGAAATAATTATAGTTATTTATCAGACAATTTGGGAATAGGTTTATCTGAGAGCTGCTAGTTCAGTGAAGTTATGGTAAAAATGCATAACGATTTTATAGGACATTTCAAAGTTGGGGGAAAAAAGTTCAATGCAAAAGAAGTAATAGCCATTGAAAAAATCACTGATGTGTATAATTTATTATCATAAATGTGGTAATCTTAATCCATAGGAAAAATCTTTAAAATACCATTTTTCTGTTAAAGAGTTCTCAAGTATTAAGTCAAAATCCAAATACCTTTCATAACTGCTTTTCAAGGAGCAGTAATTTTTAAATTAATTTTTAAAATTTCATTAAACATGAAAAAATATTCCACCTAATTCATTGCAAATACTTGCAGATTAAAGTGACAAAATATTTTTTGCCTGTCTGGCTATGATTTCAAATATTGAGAAATTTCATGCAGTGATGACAAAGGTGTGAAGGAATGGCACTCACATGCACAGTTGGTTCAGCATTTCTGGAGAGCAGTTAGGCTCTCATTTCAAAATTTGAAATGTGCACGTTGATGTGAGTTTTTAATTGTGTCCACAGTTTTGTGCACAGAATTTTACACAATAAAGATGGCTCAGAATTATTTTGCTTTTAAAACTTAATATTCAATTCATTAAAGTAACAAATTCAAAACAACTTCTTCTCCATTTAAAATTACATATATACATATACATATATGTATACAACTAACATTTTAATTGGTTCAGAAGCTACATTTTAAGTTTACATTCCCTTAAGTAATTAATTCACAAGTATTTTTAAAATGCAGTTAAATATGTAATGTATTTGATTTCCTTTAAGTATCTCAATTTTTAGACAAACTTTCCTGAGTACTTAATTCTTGCAAATGTATTAAAGATGGTGTATCTTAAACCTTTTTAAAATGTTTCTTTACATTTATAAACTGAATAAAATTTCAAATTACATATTTTAAATTGGAGTCATAAGGTGAATCTGTTATGACAAATTAAACACTATACATAACTCAATATGCAAACAGGTACTGATTATTTCTTAATATAAAAATCTTAAACTATGGGTTCAATTTGCATCATCACTTTTATAGTAATTTTAAATCTTCATAGGCTTGAAACACAAATCCACTAAGGAGAAGAAATTGTATCATCCCAAATTATTCGGAATTGCCTTCCCAGGAATTTTGGGAAATACATTCTGAGTTGGATAGATGTCATATCACCCAGAGATTTCTACTTGGATGTCAGAACTGGGGCTGCAGGCATCTGGAGTAGCATTTCCCTATTTTTTAGCTGCTGTGTCCTGCCATTGGGCACCAGTCCACATCCCCTGGCTTCAAGCTACAGAATACTTAAATCTGAAGACTAGTACATCTGAGATGATAACTTCTTTCACTGCTTCAAGGGGACTTTGCATTTGTGTCTCCAAATATTAAAATACCATCCAGTTGTGTTCTTCGTTTTACTCAAGGCCTTGTCTTGTGATCACAATTCTAAGATTATGCTTATGACAGTGCATCTTTTGATCCCTCAATTCCACTTCTAGGAATTAATCAGATGAATGTACAAAGTTGGGAATACAAGGATGTTTCCAGCAGTATTTATAAAAACAAAAAAAAGCATGGAAATGGTTAAAATGTCTATCAGTAGAGATTAGTAAAATACAGTATTTCTGTACATCAACAATGTTTATCTCCATATTTAGTGTTTAAAGGATATTAGTATATCGTTAAGTGGGGGAAAAGGACAAGAAAATAGAATGTATATTTGCCTGTTTTTGTTAGAGAATGTGCATGTTGTGTGTTTGTTCCTATGTGTGCACATGCAGGGGAGAAGTGCTATTTTGATATATGCCATTTACTTAATTCTGAGGTAAATTTTCTGGGTTTTTTTTTTTTGCAGGATTAATACCCCTCGAAGACAGGGAGGACTTGGGCCCATAAAGTTTCCACTTCTTTCAGACTTGACCCATCAGATCGCAAAGGACTATGGCGTATATCTGGAGGATTCAGGCCACACTCTTAGGTAGTTTTTGGTGGTTTTATGTTATGATAAATCCAAATATATCTGTAATCCTTGAAATGGCATTAGAAGATACAAGGTTTGATGAATATGATTTGCTCCATAAGCAAAAATGTTGTAAATACTGTTTCAAATAACTGGTGAGTGCCCTACATAAACTATGTGTCATAGACTGTCAGAGCTGGAAGATTATTTAGAAGTGCTTTGGCCAACCCTGTCATTCTGCAGATAAATCAATTCACAGAATTCCATGAATCACACAAAGTTATATAGTTAGTTACTGGCAGAGCCCACACCTGAACCCAAGTCCCTGAACGCCTTGTCCATTTCTTTCTCCTTTTTTCCAAACGGACTCCAGAAATGGTTTTTCTAAATACAAGTATCATAGTATTTAGCAAACCTGTGTCTTTGGAGTGGGAAAGATTAGGGAAATATCTTTCTAACCCAACAGCTTTCACTGTGTTACTTGAGCTAATAAATGCTCATAGAATTCTTTAAATAAAGGGAAATTTTAGCTTAAAACAGTTGTAATTTTGTTAGTTATATTGTTGATTTACTTTGCAGTGCTAATAGTTTCTTTTAATGTTTTTTGTGAAGGTATCAGTATTTTATAATCCTGTATTTTTTAGTAAGAGCTTTATTGATATATAATTCACATACCATACAACTCACCCATTTAAAGCCTACAATTCAGTGGCTATTAGTATATTCAGGGAGTTGTACAACCATCACCACAATTTTAAAACATTTTCATTACTCCCATACTGACGGTGCCTGCCGTCAAAGTCGAACAGTCTGAAGGGGAGGTGTGGAGCTGTTTATATGTACAACTCACTCTGAGAGGACGCCCCACGTTTGAGCGCCTGATGAGAGAACAAAAAACACAGACAACACAGATAGACAGACAATGGCTGCAGGCCCGATGTGGCGCAGCACCTTTATTTTTATACTGCCTTTCTCGGACCTCAGCCAAGTGCTATATTCATCTTTCCCTTCTCAGTGGGGGCAGGCCAGAAGCAGGGGTGGTGTTTTCACACATCCTCAAGGTCTCCCTATTTTCAGAGTGAGGAGTCTAGGCTCATCTTCGAGGACAAGATATGTTTTTGTGGGCAGATAACTTCCAAGGACTGCACTGGTTGCTCTCAAGCTTGTGCTTTCCCGTGCTGCGATCAGACATGGGGGAAGGTGCTTTCCCATTCTGCCTGCAAACATGTGAGAAGATAAAGGCCGTCCCCAACACCATACCCATTGGCAGTTACTACCTCTTTCCTCCAATCCTCCACCCCTGGCCTGAGGCAACCAGTAATCTGCTTTATGTCTTTATAGTTGCCTATTCTGGACATTTCATATAAATGGAATCCTACAATATGTGCTCTTTTATGACTAGCATCTTCCACTTAGCACAGTGTTTTCAAGGTTCATTCATGTTGTATCACCTATCACTACCAACAGGTTTTTTTTTTTTGTACTTGCCAAGTAATGTTTTCTGCTTTCACAGTTTATTACAAAGTTAATTGCCGAAGAGTAAATAAGCCACTAAAAAGATTGAGGCCATTTTAAAATTTGGAATTATTTGAACATTAACCAAGTAAAATTATCTACCATTAGCTATTTTACATGATTTGAACCAATGGTTTCTTTTTTAAGTAATTTTTTTCATCAAAGTAATGCCTACACATAGTTTTTAGAGGTGAGATTGTCTTAAGCCATAGACCCCTCCCTACTCCTAGCCCTCCCCCTTGGAGGAAGCTATTTTCAACTCTTTAGCTACTGCTTTTACTATTTCTCTCCCTATTTCTAAATATTATCTTATACCCTTTCTGGATTTATCAATTTTGATATGATTTATCATAGTACAGAAGACTTTATCTTTCTGACACGATCCCCAAACTTACCTGCCCAGTATATGTCACAATTTTGGATGAGGTCAATTATATAAGTATTGTTCACTGCTAAGTTCTTAAGTATGGTGTGCTAGGGATTACATTTTCCTTCTGGTAAACTTCGAATTTCGTATAGTTAAGAAAGTACTCCATTTTTTTAATTCCCTTTTCTGTATACATATCACTGATTCTTCCTAAACTCCCTAGCTGAACTATAACCCCTCTAAGTACTGCATTTTTCCTCTGTCATTTGTTTTTTCTGGAAACCTCCATCCTCCTATTTCAGACTGACCACCCTCTGGGCCTGCCACATAGCTGTTGTCCTAGCACTTGACACACCAACATCCTGGGACTTTCGCCTCTTCTCTGTTAGATGCCCAGTACTCTGGCTCTCATGCCTCCTGCCATTTTTAGTTAGTTCCTTGCTTTGGTGAAACACATCCTCATAGCTTCCTAATAAAAGGTCAATGGAAGGTAAAATACTTGAGGTCTTCCAAGTCTGAAAATGTTTTTATTCTGCTCTCTTGTTTGATGAATAATTTGGGTAGGTATAGAATTCTAGATTGAAAGACATTTTCCTGCAGACATTTGATAGCATTGTCCTGCTATCTTTAGCTTCTGAGATTGTTATTGAGATGTCTGTTGCCATTTTAATTCCTGATTTTTTAATAAGAATGAACTGTCTCTTCTCTGTGGAAAAGACCACATACATATTACACCAAGTATGGCAAATGTCTGTCTCAAAGTCTACCAAAGACACAGTTCACAATTAATTAAAACAAAACAGGAGCTAGAATTTGCTACCAAAGAAAAGCAGATTTTGTTTTTGTGTGGTAGGTGTTGGTATGATGTATGTTATAGAGGCAAGCTCAAAATTTTAGATCAGGCTCACTTACTTCAGAAAAGACTTGATCACCATTGACAGCAGTTTTCAACTGTAAAAGTAGCTACATGAAAGAACACCCATATGAATAATAATTAACAGTTTTGCCTGAATTTTGCCAAGTTGACTGAGTCCAAGAAGAGTAAACCCTAGTTAGTTCAGACATCAAGTTGCTCATTCAAAATACATATTTTAAGATAAGCAGGAACACTTTAATAATGTTTAATATGATTATGAAACAATATTTCATTTAATAGATATGTAATTCTATAAACTTCTATTAAAATGTATCTCATTATTATTTATACTACTTGTATACAAACAGTTAGCCCTAGTATCTGAGATCTTTTTCTAATCCAAAGTAAACATTAGACTTAAATCCATATTGACTTTAATAGACAATAAAGTCTTTTGAAAATTTTTATCTCTAATCTACTTTAACTCTTGCCATGCCACCCCATCTCAATAGGTCATTTAAGTTCAACTATTCATTATTACCCAGGCTGTAAAAGTGAATCACACATACAGAGATGTACAGGGAAAGGTTTCCTTGCTTACATTGGTAACCTAGTCTTTTTCCACCATTGAAAAGTAAACACAAAGGCATTTTAAACAGCCAATGATAAAAAAGATCACTCCTTCACCCGGAGAAAGGTTTTGTTATGTAGTTTCATCATTTCATTGACATTGCAGTAAAATCCCAAATACTAGTACACGTGAAGATTCAACTGTAAATACTATAGTACATTTCATAGACAAAAACAAAATTTTAAAGCTACCATTTAACAGTGATAATCCCAAATTATAGAGTAGATAAATGTGAGTATGGGGTGGGGGTAGCTACACATATGCACATGTGTGTACCAGTCAAGTAAGTAGGTAGGGTGTTTTTGGTTCTATGTAACATCTTTCTTTGTGGATGGTACAGGGATTCACATTAACTAATGCTTGTCTTAAGATGAAATGGCCTCACCTCTACCACTCTTGTGTTTTACAGAGGCCTCTTCATTATTGATGACAAAGGAATCCTAAGACAGATTACTCTGAATGACCTTCCTGTGGGGAGATCAGTAGATGAGACCCTGCGTTTGGTGCAAGCATTCCAGTACACTGACAAACATGGAGAAGGTACCCTTTCTGTCTAAACATCATATAGATTTGGGACTCCTCAGTTTGAGAGATAGCAGCATAATTAGTCTGGTTCCTTACCCTAAAAGTAATGTGGATTGTTCCAAAGTCTTCTGTGTGTTTTCAAATTATTAGCCAATCTTTTTGCAGACTAAATTATTATTTAAAGTGCTTTTAACAAAATATCACTAATATATTCTACTTACTGAGTAAGACGAAAAAGTTATTATTTGCCTACTCCTTTTGGATAAGCTCAAAAAGTTTCTGCTACTGCAATTTTTCAAATTATGTTTCTATAAACTTAAAATATGCCAATCTGGCACTATTTAGTAACATAGGTTTTACTTGCATGTTTACGTTATTTGATTTAGCTTTTTTCCTCAAAGTAAATTAGTTATCCTCAAGGTTGTGCAGTGTCACACTAGTCATCTATCAGTTCATCCTTTCACTCCTTTGCAGTACTTAAACAGAAAAGGTCAGATTTTACTAAAATAGAACATATGTTATATGTTTCTTTCAAAAGGGTAACTCAATGCCTGGGTCAGAGTGCATTCTAAACTAAGGAGAAATCCTACTACCTGAATAACTGTAAAGTCTCTTTTCACAAACAGCAAACCATGGCATTAGTATAAAATACTGCAGGAAACGAGATAAGCTTTCCAGAAGTGTATGTAAATTCAGGGAAATTTTGCCATGCCCAGACCTCTGAGTTCACCAAGATTCCCAAACTTTCCATCTTTACTTGATTTGGTTTCTTATATTGTAAGTAAACATAACTGACAAAAATGAAAATAGATGAGCTGCCTGCTGATAAGCTCCATGACTAAAATTCTATGCAACAGGCACACTAACAGAAGTCGTGTTCGGTAGCCTAGAAATGGTCTCATTAATAGAGGCTCTATTTTCATTTTCATTTGGGAAAAGAAAAGCCAAGAGTTGTTTAAGGGAACCAAACTCTGTTTTTAAACTGTCTTTTACTAATTTTTGTTCCCTTCAGTCTGCCCAGCTGGTTGGAAACCTGGTAGTGAAACAGTAAGTCACATTGATTTTTCTGTTGAGGGGATGGCTGGGGCCAATTTAAAATGCCAACCATAGGATAATCTTTCCTTGTATCAGAACTGTCTTGATTTTGTAAATGAAGTAAATATTGCTAGACAGAAATCATAAGAGTACTAGCATTCTTTGGACGAGGGGAAAAGCTGAAATGAGAAAGCAGAATGTGGGGCTTAATGCCATGACTTTTAAAGTCAAGTGTCCACAGAAATATGATTTGTTTTAAAAAAACAGAGAGAACCAGCAGAGAATTGGCAGAATAAATGTAGAGGTCTTAGAGATCATATATAGAATTTCCTCCTACATTGTGGGCAAAGGAAACAGTCAAGCAAAACCTTTCTATGTATAGTAAAAAACTGGAGAAATTCTGGCTTAATTAACATTGAAGCTAATGATTATCCTCCCTTCATTTGAAGGAAGCAAAGATTGAAACAAGGAGGCTGTATAACACTTGATGTAGTGTCTGGCCAGAATATAATATGGAAATTTGCTTGAACGTTTTTAAAATAACATGTTTATCTTCTAACAGTCAGGAGTTTTACACAAACTGTAGTTAGGAAACTGAAAAATACTATGGCATTGGAAGAATAAATCATTATCTTAGGATCAAAGAAAAATGTAGACTCCTAATAAGACTTTCTTCCTTAGCAAACCAGAAAAAAGTACCATTAGCTATACATATAAATGATAAGAGGTAGAGTTCACTCTGCAACCTCACTCAGACTAGGTCAAGTAACATTGCACTGATTTGTGAACCAGTTTTTGATGGGTTTGCAAAATAGCTTTGCCTTTGTGGGTCAAAGTTAATGTTACAATACAAACTTACTCACCTCTACATAGATCTGATGGATCTCAAAGGGGATTTGAACTTAGGCATTAAAGGTACTTTAAGCACTAGGTACTTTAATATACAAATTAGTCATTAGGTTAGTTTACAATTATTGTGACTGTAATTCTAAGACTTGCAGATAGAAATATTAATCAGAAGCTGCAGGAATCACCTGAGAAGCCTTAAAAAGCATTTCTGAATAAGTCTTTGATGTAGGAGGCACTTCCCCCGCTGCACCTATAGCAAAACCAATAGTGACTGATGAACAACATCACCATCAGTCATGGGCGTGTGCTAAGAGATCAGTAAGAGCTTCCAGGAAGTACAAATTAACTACAAAGGTATTATAGGATGAGTATTTTACATTTCAGAAACATGACTATCCACTTCAGTAACTTCCATAGGGCCATAAACCCCTTTGAGAATCTAATGAAAACCACTGGATTCTCCCTCAAGAAAAATGCACATGTGTTATCACATACTGTGTTTGGGCACTCTTCTTTTATTCCCAGTTTTATTGGGGTATACTTAACAGACAATTATATACACTTAAAGTATATAACATGATGATTTCATATATATATACGTTGTGAAATGATTACCACAATCAGACTAACAAATCCATCACCTCACATTTTTTTGTTTGGTGAGAAGGTTGAAGATCTGCCCTTTTAGCCAATTTCAAGTATACAGAACAGTTATTATTAACCATAGTCTCCATGTTGCACATTAGATCCCCAGAGCTTAACTCCCCTTAATGAAAGCCTGAGTTCAACTGGTAGCGTGAGTGGAGAGCAGACCCCAGAGAGCCCTGAGCACCCCCACCGCTGTGGTCACCAGCCTAGTTACTGTCACACCCCCGGGAGGAGCCACAGCTGCTGCAGCTGCCCCAGTCACCATCAACACAGCCACTAGCAGCGGGGCTGAGACCCAGCAGCCACCTGCCGAGTGCTGCCCGCACCAAGCCCGGCACCATGGGCAGTGGCACAGGGAGCAGCGGCCTGGAGGCCTCGCAGCTAGGGCGCCTGCCAGTGGGAACAGGAAAATCACCCCACGAAGGTCCTAGGAACAGTGAAATGGTTCAAAAGAAACGGATATGGTTTCATCAACAGGAATGGCACAAAAGAGGTTGTATTTGTACAGAAGACTGCCATGAGGAATAACCCTGGGAAGTACCTTCACAAGGTCGCAGATGGAGAGACTGTGGAGTCTGATGTTGTTGAAGGAGAAAAGGGTGTGCAGGCAGCAAGCAAACTTGCCTTGTTCCTGGTCCTTGTGGAGTTCCAGTGCAAGGTGGTAAATAGGCAGCAGGCCGTAACCATTATGGATGCTACCCATGTCACAGGGGGCCTCCTCGCAATCACCAGCAGCATGACCAGAATGGTGGGAGAGTAGTGGAAAGACGGAGGGATGGGAGAGTGCTCCCCAACAGTGCCAGCCCTACCGCAGCCGACTGCCCACCTTACTACACACGGAGACCCTATGGGTGTCAACCACAATATCCCAACCCCCCTGTGCAGGGAGAGATGGAGGGTGCTGACAACCAGGGTGCAGGAGAACAGGGTAGGCCAGTGAGATAATATATATCGGGGTTACAGACCATGATTCCATAGATGTCCTTCTCGCCAAAGACAGCCTAGAGAGGACAGCAATGAAGAGGATCAGGAAAATCAAGGAGGAGACCTGAGGTCAGCAGCCACCTCAGTGTTGCTACGCTGCAACTTCTATTAACCGACGCAGATGCCCAGAAAACACTAAACCACAATATGGCAAAAAGACGCAGCCGATCCACCAGCTGAGAATTCTTCCGCTCCCAAGGCAGAGCAGGGCAGGGCTGAGTCAATGCTGGCTTACCGTCTCTACCATCATGCACTTTAGTCATCCAACAAGAAAAATGAATATGAAGTTCCAGCAATAAGAAATGAACAAAAGATTGGAGCTGAAGGCCTTAAGTGCTTGCTTTTTGCCCATTGACTAGATACCTAGAACTAATCTACGTTAACTATGCAGCATGAGGTTTTTATTATTTTTACCTAAAGATGTCTCTTTTTTGTAAGGACAAACATTATTTTTTTCTTTAAAGCCTGGTTTTTCTCAATACATCTTTAAAGGTTTTTAAATTTTTCATATCTGGTCAAGTTGAAATTTTTAAGAACCTCATTTTTAATTTGTAATAAAAGTTTATCACTTGATTTTTTCAAAAAAAGTCAACAAACTGCAAGCACCTATTAATAAAGGTCTTAAATAATTGCCTTTGTGTATTAAAAAAAAAACGTAAAGCTCATACCCTTTGAGCAGCATCTCCCCACTTGCCCCACCCCGAGGCGCCGACAACCACCAATTGACTCCGTTTCCATGGGCCTTCTTAGACATTTCTTGAGTACCTGCTGTATGGCAACCGTTCAAACTGTTCTCATAGCCAGATGGTATTTAGTAAACATCACAGCCAAGGTCTCTGCCCTCAGAGCTACATTCTCATTTTAGATTGTGGCAAATGCTTTTAGGAACAGGTTGATGAGAGATGACAGGATAGTGCCTGGGGTGGGGATGAAGCCGTCAGAAAAGACTTAATGACATTTGCGTTGAAAGGTGAGTGAAGAGAGAGCGCCAGTCATTCCTCCAGCAGTGTAGAGAGAGCAGCGCGGGCAGCGGCCCTGAGGCAGGAACCAGTTTAGCATGTTCAAGGAAGACGAAGGGGGCCGGAGCAGCAGGAACAGCATTAGCTACTGAGCAGTGGGATAGGAAGCCCCAGTCACGGGGCATGGAGAGCTCGAGTACAGCAACCTGACTGAGCAATGTGGTGTCACCGGAGACCACAGTGGGGCAGCAGCTAGTGTGGAGTGGTTTCAGGATAGGGGCAAGGGCAGGATGAGGGAAAGGAGATGAAGTATAAGCAACTAGTTGAAGAAATAGAGCTGTGATGGGAAGAAGGAAAGTAGCTGGAGAGGTAAGGTGTAGGCTCAAAATGGTTTTGTGTTGTTTCTTTGAAGATACATGAATGTTTCATTTCCACCTCCCTTTGAGTGTTTGTTCACTCACTGAATAGTCAGTGAAGGTAATACTTTATGTTGTATTTGAGTATTTTTTTACTTTGCAGTTTGAGATTAAAAGGTTGCATTCTGGGCCTTCAAAAAATCCATGTGACAGATAAAGAAGATAGTGTACATATATAATGGAATATTACTGAGCCATAAAAAAGAATGAAATATTGCATTTACAACAGCATGGATGGATCTAGAGGTTATTATGCTCAGAGGAAGACAAAAGTCATCCGCTTTCCCTTGTATGTGGAATTTTTTTTGGTATCATTAATCTACAATTACATGAGGAACATTATGTTTACTAGACTCCCCCCTTCACCAAGTCCCCCTTGTATGTGGAATTTTAAAAAAACAAAACAAAATAAACAGGCTCATAGATACTGAAAACAAACTGGTGGTTGCCAGAGGAGGGGGTGAGGGGTTAGATGAAATAGGTGAAAGGGATTAAGAAGTACAGTCTTTCAGTTGTAAGTCATAGGGATGCAATGTATAGCATAGGGAATATAGTCAATATTGTAATAACCTTGTATGGTGACAGATAACTACATTATGGTAATCATTTTATAATGTATATAAATATTCAATCACTATGTTGTACACCTGAAACTAATATTTTATGTCAATTATTCTTCAAATAAATTAGAAATCCATTTTGAACACTGCCCCCATTTCAGATTATTGTGCTATGCCAACATTTAATCAGCAGATGATTTCAAAAATACATTAACATCTGTACCCATGCTCTCTTAATGTCTTTGATTTAATTAGATCATACCTGAAGATGCCATGAAAGCCTGGTGGCCTAGAGAAGAGCTGTAAGTACATTTTGGGGTGCTTGAGTACAGATGTTAATTTATTAACAGATTATTTGCCTTGTGGAATAGGTGAGGTTAGTAGGTGAGAGAGAGGTGCCTCTCTCTGTATAAAATTTGAGACACAAAATTTATCTTTAGTCAAGAGATGGACAACTAATGTCAGGCTTTTAAAATGAAGTTTTCAAATACCAATCTTAAGAGATATGTGCAAAGCTACATTCACTGCAGCATTACTTTACAATTGCCAAGATCTGGAAGCAAACCTAAGTGACCATCAAAAGATGAGTAGATAAAGAAAATGTATGTGCATGCATGCACACACACTATGGAATATTACTCAGCCATAAAAAAGAACGAAATCCTGCCAGTTGTGACAACATGGATGGACCTACAGGGTATTATGCTAACTGAAATAAGCCAGGCAGAGAAAGACAAATATCGCATGATTTCACTTATATGTAGAATCTGAAAAACAAATGAACAAACAAAACAGAACAGAGTAGGGTACAGAAAAGGATGGTTGCAGAGGAGAGGGAGGCTAAAATAAATGATAAAATAGGTGAAGGGAATTCAAGGGTACAATCTTCCAGTTGTAAAATAAGTCATGGGGATGTAATGAACAGCATAGGGAATACAGTCAATAATATCACAGTAACCTTACATGGTAACTAGACTTATTGTGGGGATCATTTCAGAAGGTATAAAAATGTGGAATCACATGATGTACACCTGAAACAAATAGGATATTGTGTGTCAATTATACTTCAGTTGAAAAATAAAATTTTTAATGAATAATTTGCTTTTTTTTTAAACAGATAATCCCAGATCCAGCTGGAAAACTGAAGTATTTTGATAAACTGAACTGATAAGACTTCTTCAGGTTATGATGCTTGAAAGGTCTCCATAAAGTTCACCATGTTAATGCCACATTGTGTTACAGTAGTAATTTCTTGAAGAATATAAAAGTCCATGGCAGGGTCCAAAGACACTAATGTCGAAAGATAGGCAATTATTCTCTGTGTTTCCAAGAAATATCAGATTGAATCAAACACATACTCATGATAACAACTAACATTTACAGAGTACATGCCATGTGCCTGCCATGTTAGGCAGGCTAGGTACATACTTCATTTAATCCTCACAACAATGCTTTGAGTTCTTCATTTTACAATAATGCTTTGAGTTCTTTATTTAAGAAGACTGAATCTCAAATAAATTATTTACCCAAAGTCATACAGCTAGCTAGCAAAGTAGAATCAGACTTTGAACCCACATAGCCTATTACTAGTTTCTGGGCTCTTGAACACTCCACTGTGGCTCACCTTTCTGTACCTTTGGAGGTGGCAGGAAAGAATAGGTTGTAAGCAACCACCTTGCATGGATCTGTTAGGGACAACTGACCCCTTTTCTCTAAATTCACATTTTGCAGCTTGTACCAAATTTATAAGTAACAACTTATATTTAACAAATAAAGGTGGAATACTTAAATACATGTAGCTAGCTCCTCACTATTGACCACTATTGAACTGAGCTCCGGTGCTACTTCATCACCCCATTTACCACCTCAATGTGGCAGTGACTTTATTGTAATTATCTACAGACATGCCATGCAGTTTTAGGACTTGGTATCCAAGAGAATTTGCCTCATCCCATCTTACATGCTAATCCCCTCAACACTCACAAAAAGCCTCTCAACCCTGGAGGAGACTGCCACTAGATTTGGGGGTATTGGTCTCCTGGCTGACACTTGAGTTCTGTCATACATGTTAGGTGATAAGTGACAGGCATGTGTACATGGACATGGGACTCCAACTGCCAGTTATAACCCTTTGCTACAGCAAGTATGTTCTAAATGCTTGCTTACAGTTGAAATTTTAGAAGCCAACCTATTAGTAAAGTTGGAAGACTGCTAGTACTTTAGTGTTCAAACAGGTCTGTGACAATCTTGTTAATCAATATTTCTAATACAATTGAAATCCTATTGTCAGATTTCCTCTTTCCTATCTGAAAAGTACTAATTTTTTATTCATGGAGTAAGCCTATATCTTAATAGTTTCAGTTCTTTGGAGCTTTTCTAGCCTCATGTGTGTTTTAGGTTTGTTTACAAGGAGGACAGTTATTTTTAGATCCATTTGAAAAAGCCAGTAATTAATGTTTCATTCAACATTCAGCAAATATTGATCACCTACTCTATAAACACTTAGCATATATCGAGTAATCAAAGACAAATATCTGCCCTCAGAGAGCTCAGTATTTGATTACTGAGGCAGATGTTCATAGTGTAGTAATTTCTGGGCACCTACAAATAAGTGAAGATACATCCTAATGCACCACCTTCATATTACCTGGGTAAATAGGACCATAAGCCTATGAATGAAATAGCATTAAGTGCATTCCTTCTCAGTGCCTTTGACAAACTATCCCTTCAAACAGCTGACTTCTGAAAGTCCACAGGTCCAAAATTAAATCCTAAAGACGATTTCAAGAAGTTTTTTACAGAAGACTCATAAAAGAGTTCAGAAAGGAGTCCATTGCCTTAGAGGGGAAGATGGACCCTGGATCTGATGGGGATGCAGCTAGAGACCTGTTCCGGGAACATCCTGACCTACCTAGAGCCTGTCTCAACTGGAGGCACTTTGCCCCAGAGGACATGGTAATGTCCAGAGATGTTTTTGTTGTCGCAAGTGTAGGACTGCTACTGGCATCGAAATCATGCATTGGTTCATATGGAAAATATTACCTACACATGTGCAAGCTACTTTTCTAGGCAATACAGATAAAAAGATATGACATAATCCCTTCCCTCAAGAAGCCCAGTCCCCCAAATGCAAGCATGTAAAGAGAGTAACACATGCTAAATGCACAGACACCTGTGAATGGCTCCAAGGCAAAGAAGAGCAACTAGAAGATAAGGATAAAAGAAACTGTCCCAAGGGAGGGGAGTGTAAGCCCACTTCCTACTCCTCCACTAAAGGCCACATCACCTACAAGTGTACTGTCTTTACATAAAAAGACAGTACTTGTGGCCCAACCTCAAGAGACAAAGCACTGACTGGTTTTCCTCTCTCCTGATAATCTACTGGGGGATGGCATGTACTTTAGAGTTGACTGGATAGGCTAGGGCTCCAGTGTGTGGGTAAGGTGAGATGGGAAGAACTGAATCTGCAGGCCTGGTTTTCTCCACCTCAAGCTCTGGCCGTTTGTACCATTCAGTCAGGACATCAGAAACAGGATCTGCACTTTCTATTAAAGGGAATACACTGCACTGTAACCCAAAGGCCATGAGATGGCACCCAGCACACCGAAATCCCACAGCAACTTGCCAGGTCCTGAGGCACACCCCTCAGGCTAAACTAAAGGACTACCAACACTCAAATGTTTTTTTTTTTTAAACAAATCTAATTTGGGGGGAAGAATGAAGGAAGAAAAAAACAATCCAGACAAATTCAAAACTAAGTACAACTCAAGGAGGCATGTTAATTTGTACTGGGTATATGCCTTTCTTCAATGACCATGACCCAGTTAGAAGTACATTTCTGCTGTGACCTAGTATACCTATGAATGTGTGCATGCAGCATGCACGTTCACAACAAGCTTCACACACTTACATTACTATGCATGATGCGTTCTGATCTTTTTGTAATGTTGGTCACAGTCCACTAAATTTCATGACCACTGTCTGTTAAAGGTGCACAGTTTCTGTGACACAAACCAAAATCCCCACCCTTTCTTCAGTTACTATCATCCTTTCTCATCCTTTCTCTGGGGTATTAATTTCTCAATGCCTCTGGATTGCTGAATGGTTTTTCAGAAGGGTGTTTTATTCTGAGGCTTCTTTTTTAGCATATACATCTTAATTTTTTAAGTGAAGTTCAGCAAAAAATCTTGCTTTTTAATCTTGGTATATAATATATGCATTAAAATATTTCACTACCTGAACAGCTGAATCAAGTGAAAGAATGTAGCCTAAATCAGGAGTCTGTAGAGTGAGAAGTGCCCCCTTTTTTATGGTGGAGGAAAGAGCACTAGAGATGAATTCGCCAGCCCACTCCCGGCCCTGGCTGGCTGCAGACCTGTGGGAGAGACCTCACGGGTGTGGACATTAAGGGCAATGCCATTCTCACCTGACACTGCCTGCCAGAAACCCAATAGCTGGACCGAAAACCCCCAGATCCACCTCACACTGATCCCCTCAGATCAAAATAATCTCATGACATAACAATTTCCTCTGAAGTAATGTGATTTTAGTCAAGGATCTTTAAATCCATTTTGAAACTTGCCAAAATCCCTACTTTTAATTTCTCTTTCCCATTTACCATATTACAGTAATTCATTATTTTTGCCAATGGAGGCAGAAAAAATATTCACAAGTCAACTTGGAGAGTTGATCACAAATATAACAAGTTTTCTCTCTTACAACACTAAACTATGATTTCTACCTTTATCTTGCATCCACCTACCACTTCAGCATTTTATTAAAAATAAAAAAAATAATAATGATAAAGGGAGAAATGTGGGATCCACACATAAATCAAGTATAAAAATCAAATGAATATTCATATTATTTGACCTGATTGTTTATAGTTCATAATGCATGATCAAAACCGAAAGTTTCTGTGATGACTGCCCTTGTACTGTTCACCATGTAACTTACTCACTATGTAAGAATTTGTTCACCATGTAAGAACTTGTTCGTTATGCTTCAGAAGATTGGAGACTGACAAGATTTAGGCTTGGGGTGGATTAATGATTGTGCATTGAGCATTGAGTCCCCTATACAGAATTTTATTGTTGTTAATAACCATTTGATCAATAAATATGAGAGATGCCCTCTCAAAAAAATATATATATAACAAGTTTTATTCTAACAAAATTAAAACAAATGCCAAAAGTATTTCAAGCCATCCTAGTCTTTATGGTTGAGACCCGACTGTATTCTCTCTCTCTCTCTCTCTCTCTCTCTCTCTCTATATATATATATATATATATATATATATATATGTCTGTATATCAAACATATATACAAAATCATTTACCATAACAGCTAAGGAAATACGTATGAAATGTGGCAAAGGGCAACACTGCAGACCTAGTCTAGGCCTGCCCCACTGACCCAGTGACAAGTTTGTAACTGCTAATAAAATACCAGGTGGACTTTGGGAAGTTACTCCCCCTCTCTATGTCTCACTCTCCTCATCTGCCAGATGTGAGTAATAACAGTATTGACCTCAAAGAGTGACCTCAAAGACTGAAGGACTAAATGAGAAAATACATTTTAATGGTATTCATACAGTGCCTGAAACACAGAATCCAACATGTATTAGCCATATATAAAAACTCTTATTTACAATGATTACATCTTGTAACTGATATTTTGCCGCACTTCAACATACAAGTTACCGTGGAATCCTAGCGTCAAAGAATCCCTAATTACTCCCAAATGTTTTCATGTGAAAGCATGAAACATTGAATTTGAGCTTGAGACTCTTGCACAGAAATAAACAGATAATGCAAACCTGTATTCTCTGCATCAAAATGGAGGCAAGACTCATAAAGAAAACTAACCTCACCATCATCCTAATGCACTTCCTTTCACCTCCCTCTTCTCATCTGTAAAGGGGCATAATGCTACAAGATGATTATTCAGAATTTGTTGTCAAAGGAACATTTTATAAAACATTAGTGGTGACAGCAAGCAATTAGATCTGGTTCTGTATCCCAAGTAACTGAACTCCAATGAAAAAGCAAGACTGCCAACCTTTGAAAGCTGGAAAGGTCAGATCTAAAATGTTATCCTAAATTGGGTTTTAAGAAACACACTAATATTTGATTCTTCGTAGCAACAGAGGGTGTACTGATTTACTCCTTGGACAATATACTGCTTTTTCATGAACAAAATATATAGAGTATGATTCCAGCTTTGTAAAAATTATAAAAACTAGTATGTTCAATTTGTTCATAGGCATATTAACCAAAAAAAGGTCCATAGTCAAGTAAAGTACACAAAAGCAGATTCTACATTAAACAGAGGTTCCTGTGGCCCTACGTTTCAGTCTTTTGTAAGATAATATGCATTACAAAACAGCAGAGGAGGGCCATCCTAGGCAGTGCTTCCCAATGTTACTTTGTTGATTAAAGAGCATCTCCCCAGCACCAGTGTCCAAGGAACTCGCCCAGGAAGACAGCCGGACACTTGGAGTGCCTCAGCCCCTTGCCATCCAGCCATAGACACCATCACTTTTTGAAACTGTTCTTACCAGCAATCTCTCAATCATCCGACCTCTGGCCTTTTCCCAGCGCTCATCTCTGTCAGCTTCCATGACACCACTGATCATTCCCTCCATGAAAATGGCAGGCAGTGGCAGGAGGATGGCACAATTAGGCCCTGGGAATCTGCCTGAGTGCTCCTTGTGCCCTGGGGCCACCACTTAAGAAACCCCACCAGCCTTTTCAGAGGCCTGGCAGCTGCTGCAGCCCAGGTACCAGAGGTCC